GTGAGGTGGTATCTCAATGTTGTTTTGATTTGCATTTCTTTTATGGCTAGAAAGGTTGGGCATTTCTTTATGTGTCTGTTGGCCATTCTTCTTTCCTCTTCAGAGATGTTTCTCTTTAAGTCTTTAGCCCACTTATTTATTGGGCAGTTGTTTCTTTGAGGATATGTTGTTGGGGGATTTAAGTTTTTGAGTTCCAAGGGACCCTTATCCGTTGTATAGATGGTGAAGACCTTCTCCCAATCCATGGGATTTCTATTGATCTTGCTAGCTATGTCCTTTGCCATGCAGAAACTCTGCAATTTCATGCAATCCCATTTGTCCAACCTTTCTTTGATTTGTTGTGTTTCTGGGTCTCTATTAAGAAAATTTTGGCCTGTACCAAGGAGACCTAGGGTTTCTCCTATTCCATCCTGTAATGTTTTCAGAGTGTCTACTTTGGCTCCGAGGTCTTTGATCCATTTGGAGTTGATTCTGGTGCAGGGTGATATATAAGGATCTAGCTTTAGTTTTCCACAAGTAGTTAGCCAATTTTGCCAGCATCATTTACTGAAGAGGCTGTCTCCCATTCTATTTTTTAGAGAGCTAGGACAATCTTTAAGCTACAAGCTCATAGGGAACAAACACACAAAGAAATACAACAGTATCCAATACTGACATAGTCTCTGTCTTGTGGGACTTTAGGTGGGGGAGATGGTTGATAAACAAGGAAAGCAGCAGATCTGTGAGGTGTTCTGAGAAGGGAGAAAGCAATGCATTGTGTTAGGTAATGGCTAAAATCTCTCCAGTGGAGTAGGCTATGTTCTTCATTCATGAAGAAGTGAAAGGGACTCACATTATTCTTCTGTAAGTCATTGGATACACTGATGTATATGTGTATACACATCTGTCTGCCTGTGTGTGTTTCTGTGTCTGTATATGTCTATGTGTATGTTTCTGTGTGTGTGCATGTGTCTATATGTGTCTACATGTGACTGCCTATCTGTGTGTGTGCTTATACAAGTAATCATCCATAGAAGGATGGGATCAGACCTCTGACTATTTGATTTTTTTGGCAGGGGGGTACTGATCCTGGGGCTTGAACTCAAGGCCTGCATGCTGTCCCTGAGCTTTTGTGCTCAAGGCTAGTATTCTACTACTTGGAACACAGTTCCACTTTGGCTTTTTGGTGGTTAGTTGGAGGTAAGAATCTCACAGACTTTCCTGCCAGGGCTGGCTTCAAACCTTGACCTTCAGATCTCAACCTCCTGAGTAGCTAGGATTACAGTCATGAGCTACCGCACCCCACTTGTCAATTTTAACCTTTATTTTGTGCTAATTGGTACTTTTCTTCCCCTCTGTGCCTCAGTTTCTCATCCAAAACTGGGGATTAATAAACTACCTTTACTAAGGATTAAATCTGCTGACACTTGGGAAGCACTTAAAACCGCCTGGTGAGTACTAAGTTCTGAATCAACATTAGCTGTCCTGTTATTTTTTTCAGAGCAGGTTTTCCCAGAGGGAGAAAAGTGAAGCAGAAGATGACTGGGACAGTAATTGGACACCTCTGCATTGTCTACGCTATCTTCCTGTGAGATGTGGCTCGGTCAGGCTATAAAATGGTCTGCTCCACTTCACTCTACCCAAAGCCACAACCTACAGAGAAATTACAGGGTGGGCCATGCTGGTCATGACTAGAGTTTTCAGCTATGTCAAGCCATAATTGCTTTGTCCTGGCCTGGGATGCTCACCAGTTCTGCTTGCTGTCTCTTCTGTCTGTGTAGGTCAACACTTACCATCCTGTGCCAGCCTTCCCAGGACATGCCATGGCCATGGTCAGCCTGCCCAGCTCCCAGCAACACCTGTCCACTAACATGTGAGTAAAAAATCTCAGTACCGCCCACCCCCCAACACACAACCTGGGTCCTGGCACAAAGGGGTCATCTTTGCCAGCTTCCTGCCACCAAACCACTTCACCCCCCACATCATCCTATTTAGAGAGAAAACAGCCCCCTTCCTTTACTACTTCCAAAGGATATAATGGCCAAACAAACGCACATGCAAATTAGGAAAGCCACGGCATCTTTACTTGTTGTTTTACAAAGGCAGAAAGAAACTGCCAGATTATAAGCCACAAGCTCGCTGGAAGATGGAGGATGGAGCAATATCTGTTGTCTTTCTTTAGATTCAGAAGGTTCGCTCACAAGCGCGTGTTGATTGTTGTAATCGGTAAAATAAATCAATACAGCATTGGGGGTAGAAAACAAACTTGAGGCTGCAAGGCTTGATAAGAAATGTACGCATTATCCTGCCCATGTAATTGTAACCCCTCTGTACAGTATGTTCACAATAAAATTAAATTAAATTAAAAAAATTTTAAAAAAACAAACTTGAATATGAACACATACTCTTAACCTTTTTGATACAAACCTTCACAGTCTCTAGGACCCGGAATGACTTGCTAATGTCTAGCCTGAAGGCCATATTCTGGTGACCCCTGTATCCAGAAAAGCACAGCAAGTCTTCAATGCCTTACTTACATAGGCATGGTTCCTTAGCCTCAAGCCTCACTATTCCCTATTGTCTTCCCTCTCAATTCATACCCACTTGCTTCCTATATGGGCTATAGAATTCCACATCCCTGCTGGAACGCAAGGACATGTCGACGCCTGTCCTTCTCACCACGTAAACCAGCGAACATTGTATGCCAAGAAACCAAGATTGACTTGTCTCTCCTATTTCCCAACACACATTCAGCTAGCTCCTCCAGCCAATCCTGGGAGTCAAACAAGTCCTCACTCTCAGTCACAGGCATGGATCCAAGCAGCTTCTGTACACACCACTCATGTCTCTGAAGGCTGCTGGTGGTAACTATTTTCTTGAGAGGAATATCAAAGCACCCTGATAATCACAACTTGTAGGATGAGACACCCTCATTTCTGCTAGTAATTTCTAGCCACCAAGTTCTGTTCACCATCTAAAGCCAGTTTCCCATTGTTCAAGCACCTGTGTTGGCCTATACCAGCAATCTCCAGGTGTGGTGCTCTCTGGAGGAGTAGGGAGGTAAGGAGGCTGGCACCAGTTCAGCAAGGCTGCTCCACTTTTCATATCCACATTGTAGTGTGTGTGTGTGTGTGTGTGTGTGTGTGTGTGTGTGTGTGTGTGTGTGTGTGGAGACAGTGCTCCCTAAGTTTTTATTGCTCAAGGCTAGTCCCAGCTCCACTGTCAGATTTGTTGATAACTAATTGGAGATAAGAGTGGCTCAGTGGTAGAGTGTTTGTCTTGCATGCATGAGGCCCTGAGTTCGATTCCTCAGCACCACATAAGCAGAAAAGGCCACACATGGCACTGTGGCTCAAGCGGTAGAGCACTAGCCTTGAGCTGAAGAGCTGAGGGATAGCGCCCAGGCCCAGAGTTCAGGTCCCAGGACTGGCAAAAAAAAAAAAAAAAAGGGCGGGGGAGGTCTTCATGAGCTTTCCTGCTGAAGCTGGCTTTGAACCATGATCCTCAGATCTCAGTCTCCTGGGTAGTTAAGATTATAGGTGTGAGCCCCAGGTGCCCAGCTCCAGGTTTTAAAAGGTTTTATTACTAACCACTGTGTTGATGGATCTGAGGGTCTGTCTCCCGCTGTCACTCACTAGTCTGTGCCCAGCAGGCACACACGCCCTCTTCCCTCACTAGTTCCCTGTGTCTCCAGGTTTGTAGCCCTGCACTCGTACTCGGCACACGGCCTTGGTGAGCTGGACCTGCAGAAGGGAGAAGCCATCAGGGTCTTGGGGAAGTACCAGGACGGCTGGCTACGGGGCATCTCCTTGGTCACTGGGCGAGTCGGCGTCTTCCCAAGCAACTATGTCATCCCCATCTTCAAGTGGGTCCCCTCCAATATCAGCCACTAGGGCGGAGCTGGTGTCATCCTCGGCCCAGAGACCTTCTGTGGGTTGAATGGATGGAGGACTCAGTGCTTTTCAAGGGACAGACCAGGAAATGGCTTTAACATTCCCATCTCTCTATTTCTTGTGCCAGTTCTGGGGCCTGAACTTAGGATTCCACACTCTTACTTAGCTTTTTCCACTCAAGATTGGAGCTCTATCACTTGAGCCGTACCTCCAGTTCTGCATCTTAAGTCTTAAAAAAAAAAAGTATTGACAAGTATTTTTACCTCTTTCTACTTTCTACTCATTGGCCAAGCCTCAGAATCGATATTTGATGGATATAAATATTTATATCTACACATCCATATTTTATATATTTATTTACATATTTATGTCTTATATTTATATATTATGCATATCACATATTTTTACATATATTATATAGATGAGGGTACTGAGAGTCAGAGCTAAGTAACTCATGAAGAGCTAGTTTTCAGTTTCTCCCGCACCAATCCTGGAATTCTCACTTTATGTCTTATCCTTCCAATACTTCATCTAGTGGAATGGTGAGAAAATGTGGTCAAATGACCTCTCCAGAGGTCTCTCAGAGAACCTTTCTGGGAAAGAAGGCAAGACTGTTATTCAGAGGTTCCGTGAACGCAGACCACTGTCCATCCATGCCCCAGATCAAACACTAGCTAGAATACCAAAACTCTTCCCAACCTTTTCTCCTCTGGGACAGTCCTACTCATTGCATTAACCCACAGCTTGTCCTACCAGCTTGCTCTATGTCTACAAATCTACACAGACCCTAAAGCTACCCATGACCCATCTCACCCCTACTCCCTGCCCCATGCCCATGTGTACACGCACGCACACACACACACACACACACACACACACATACACACACGCACACACACACACACAAGCCCAGGCAAAGGCAGGAGACAGTGAGACACTGTACATCAAGCTCTGTCTTTATGACATAGAAGGGAGTCACAACTCCAAGGAAAATGACAAGGTGTGGGGGTCATAACTAACATCACTTATCCAGTTTGGGAAGCCTTCATTTAGGTGGGGCAGTGTCCTGAGGAGGGCAACAATGATGGTAAGAAAATAGCCAAGTATAGCATACAGGAACTGATAGAGAAACTAAGCTGGTGTAATCTGTAGAAGACAGGGATGGAGGGATCTTAATAAACTGTAAGGCAGTTTGGCTCTATGAGAGGGCATTGGAATATATCAAAGGATATACTTACATAAAAGGATTTGGTTCCACCCAAAGGCACATTTTCTGAGCCATTGATTTCTCTAGCCAGGCTGGCTGGTGAGTTGGAGGAGTTCCATTTTAGGAAGAATTATAGACAACATCTGTCTTCACAGATTCAGAGTGATATAAAAAGATCCGTTTATGAAGTTGAAATTAAGATTGAAGATTATAGTTACCTGTTCCAATGGAAGGTTCTTGTGATTTGTGTTTAGGCAAATTTAAGATAAGCCAGGTGCTAGTAGGTCACACCTGTAATCCTAGCTACTGAGATCTGAGGATTGCAGTTTGAAGCCATTCCAAGCAGAAAAGTCCATGAGATGCTTATCTCCTATTAACCACAAAAAACTAGAAGGAGAGCTGTGGCTCAAGTGGTAGAGTTCTAGCCTTGAAGGAAAAAAATTTTCAATAGCTTATTTTTTATTTCCTTACTTTACAAATACTTACTGAGGACTAGTTATGTGAGAGGTACCTTTCCAGGCACTAGGAAAATATCAGTAAACAAAGTACAGAAAAGTGGCTGCCCACAGATGCTTATATTATAGGAGGGAAGATGATAAATAAATAATATGTGCATAATATAAACAATGTGATAGTCATATGGGCTAAGGAGAAAAATCAGGAAAAAGGGACAGAATTTGTGGGTTGTAATTTTAGATATGGCAGAGATTGCCAAATCAAGAATTAAGAATGAGGGCAATGAGAAGGTAGTCCAGGTAGATCTTCGAGAAAAGTATATTCCAAGCCAAAGGAATGGCAAGTACAAAGGCCTGGGGGCTGGGAATTTGCCCGACGTAAAGGCAAATTGGGGAGAAATTAGTGGGAGACAGGTCAGAGTGGTAAAGGGGGGCCAGGTAATCTAGAATATTCTAGGTCATAATGAGAGATTTGGTTTTAACTCTTATTGCAAAGTTTTGAGCAGAAGAGTGATGAGATCGAACTAGTGTTTAACCATGCTCTTTCTGCTTTGCTGGGTTGAGAATTGACTGCAGAGAAGAAGGGATGGAAGCAGAAAACTAGCAGAGAGAATGGGAACTGAATCAGGATAACTGCCACCATGGAGCTAGAAAAATCCTGAAGTTAGAAACGGGCAAGATTTCTACTAAAGAAAATATCAGATGTGGAGGAACGGAGGACTTCAGGTTGAGTCCAAGCTCTTTTCTCGTTAAGAGTATGTGCCGGTGGCCCAAGTGCTGGTGGCTCTTATCCTAACTATTCAGGATGCTGAGCTCTGAGGAGCATGGTTGAAACCAGCCTAAGCAGAAAAGTCTGTGAGACTTTTATCTCCAATTAACCAGCAAAAAGCTTAAGTGGACAGTAGCTCAAGTGGAGGCATGCCAGTTTTGAGTGAAAAAGCCAAGAGAGAATATAAGGCCCCAAGCTTAAGCCTCAGTACAGGTGTGCACATGTGTACACACACAAATACATACACACACACACACACAGAAAGAGAGGAGGAGGGGGAGGGAGAGAGAGTAATGTAGTGTTTCCTTTTACTGGGATGGCAATGATAAAAAACATAAGATGAGCAAGTACTGAGGCACAAGGGAAGCAGAAGCTTCGTTCACAGCCAATGAAATCTGGGATGTCTTGTACTCTATTACTAATCTAGGTAAAGATGTTGGTGAGCAGTTGAATGTGCAAGTCTAACATTTAAGAGAGAGTTGCAGATTGAGATGGTATTTACATCCCTAAGATTAGATGAGATCACTGTGGTAGAATAATGTAAAATCATTCTAAAATCTGTAATGAATGAAGGGACAGATCAGAGGGTAGGTAATCACTGCAACAAAGTAAAGTGGTAGGTACAAACTCTGGTAATGTCAAAGCTGGGAAGGATTGGAGAGGATGGAGAATGATCCAGGAACTGTAGCAGTCTGTTCTAAGAGTTTATTCCCTGAGATAGAACATGAACTGTCCATAGCCCAAACCATGGTCTTAGCCCCTACATTTAAATTTTAGCCTGAAATATTGGTTATGCCATCAAGAACCATGAGAATAAGAGTTATTCATATATACTATACATATAACCTAATTTCTTACATATATAGAACATAGCATTATATATATATACAATATATTATATATATATTATATATATATACATATATATATACAATCCCAGAACTGACGTACACTAAATGGTATAGGGCTTGAAATCAGGCTTGGGCACTATATATAGATATAGATACAAGATATAGATATATAGATATTATAATATATAATATTATCTATATATTTATATTATTCTATTATATTAAATATAATTACACAATATATGTAGTAGTGTCTGTGTGTGTGTCTGTGTGTGTCTGTGTGTTTGTGTCTGTGTGTGTATGTCAGTACTGGGAGTTGAACTCAGGGCCTGGGCACTGTTCCTGAGCTTTTGTGCTCAAGGCTAGTTCTCTGCCACTTTGAACCACAAACTCCATTTCCAGCTGTGTGGTACTTAATTGGAGATGAGTGTCACAAACTTTCCTACCATGATCATTAGATTTCTGCCTCCTGAATAGCTAGGATTATCATAGTATGAGCCACTGGAGCTTGACTTAATCATATATTTTATCATGTAAATGAAGACATTTTTGAACAGACAGATACTGAGGACTTTCCTGGGAAAACCAGAACACATGGTTGCCCCAACTAGAATGTATGTAAGATTCCATCAGTGTTTCACAAGTCTCCTGCTTCTGTTTCATTCCTCTGTGACTTTTCTCCCAAGTGATACCCTAGGCAGCCATAAGCATCTTCTAAATTCTAACGCACATAAGACAGAAGATAGAATGTCAGAATCACAACCATTGACCATCTCTTCCTCCCAGCTCACAGAAATCTGAATACGGGCATTTCTTGAGAGGTTACTAAGGTCCAAGCACAGTTTTCCTTATAAACAAGCAATATTTCTAAGAAACAGTCCCGGTCAGAGAGTCACTGCCTGGAGGTTATTAGATGACAGAGGATCGTAGAGTTGTGTGTGTCTTCCTCTTCTAAGGAAGTTCCATCTTGGACATGCTGACATGTGCCCAATTTGTTTCCCTGGGTGCAGCTGTCCCTCATTCTAATCACCCTTTCCACCGTGGGAAGTTTCCTTCTCCCACTTCTCAGGGCTGACAAATATTGTCCTTTGTGTGGGAAACTAGTGGGTTGGGCTACATGCGCAAGGCTCCTTTCAGTTCTTTGTGTGTTTGAAAGCTTTTGTTCCCCTTCCCTTGCCTTTGTTTTCTGCCAGTAGTGATGGTTCTGTGCAGCGCAGTCTTTTATAGAACAGCCAAGGTTCAGAGATGGAGGGACCTCTGAGCATTGAAACCTTTGCTTTTATTAGAATCATCCCATAATAGACTGAGCCAGCCAGGGTTTGAGAATTAACTATAAGCAGGAACTGACTGAAATGCCACGGTTTAAATTTAAGATCCAATAAGTAAACTTTTTTTTGGCCAGTCCTGGAACTTGAACTCTAGGCCTAGGTGCTTTCCCTTTCTTTTTGTTCAAGGGTAGCACTCTACCACTTGAGCCACAGAGACACGTAGGTATTTTTCTGCATAGTGCATTGGAGATAAGAATCTCACAGACTTTCCTGCCCAACCTGGCTTTGAACCACAATCCTCAGAGCTCAGCCTCCTGAGTAGCCAGGACTACAGACATGAGCCACTGGCACCCCACTACAAGTAAGCATTTTTAAGTGTCAAACATGTTCCTGGTTTTATTCCTTGATCCAGCCGTCTAGGCTACATGGTGACACCCACCTTTCCGGCTTTTGTTAACAACAATTAAATCTCTGCCATCGTGAAATCCTGGAGATATCTATGGGCTCAAGAGGCACAGAGGAGCTGGCAAGTTCTCACCTGTCTGCCATCCAAACACCTTCTGATGTTTTATTTGAATTCTCCTCCCCTGGCGCCCCCCTCTCCGCCCCCTCCCCGTGTGTTGTCTTAGTGAGAGGCAGGTATTTTGTCCCTTTTCCTTCTCAGTCCACCACATGGCTAGGGCCCTGGCTTAGCCAGGCTTGTGCTCCCCACTGAGAACTTTGAAACCTGAGCAAGGAAAGACAAGATGCAGGCCAAGTTGAAGATCGTTCATGGTGAGTGCTTCAGTACCAGCATTACCTGGCAATTCCAGTGTAAATCCCGCTGCTGGGCCCTCTGTAGCCTGCTTGGATCCTGTTTCGAAGTCCTTTCCTCTCCATCCTGTCTTCCCATCCATTCCCTTCCGCTCAATTAGCCAGGCTAGTTCTTCTTCATGCAGCCTTCACAGACACCTATCGGCCTGCTGCCTCATAGGTGGAGGGAAGTGCTCACTCCATGGCCTTAAACGCTAAGAAGATTCTGTAAAGGTGGTCAGAGTCAAGCCTTCTTCTTACCATGAGGCTGTTACCATGGTGAGCCCAGCAGAGCTGCTGTATCTAATGTCCCCTTTGCCTATTAGAAAAGCTGTTTAAGAGCTAATATCTCACACGGAGGAAAGGATATGAGGACCGGTTCAGTGGAGCAAGTCAGAAGCCACATCCACTTCTTCCACAGAAACCCACTGTGTCTTTCTGTTTCCTCTGGAAAATAAGGATCATAACATCTTCAGATCTAGGGTTTTGTGGGGACTCATTAATTAACATGTTAGCAAAGCACTCTGATGTTGGGAGAAAGTAGTGGGTAAGTGCTAAGCTTTTTGCCAAAAGTCCTAGTCACAGTGTTGAATGGGACACTTGGGATTTAGGAGTTCCTGGAATCTGGCCCAGTGCTGAGCTCAGCAAAATGAGGTAATACCTTGGTCTATAAACAATCATTCAATGAAGAAATTGGTGAGATAAAGCTAGCATGGTCTTAATTAGCTATGCTATACAGGAAATAGTTTTGGGGCCAAACTTTCCTCCTCCTCCTCCTCCTTCCTCTTCTTCCTCTTCCTCCTCCTCATCTTCTTTCTCCTTCTCTTTGTTCTGGGCTTGAACTTAGAAGTTGGGTGCTATCCCTTAGCTTTTTTATCCAAGTCTAGTGCTCTACCACTTGAGCTCTACCACAGCTCCAATTACAGATTACTTTTTGCTGCTTAAATGGAGATATGAATCTCATGGTCTTGTCTGCCCAGGCTAGCTTCAAACTGTGATCTTCAAATCCCAGCCTCCTGAGGAGCTAGGATTACAAGCGTGAGCCAGTGGTCCTAGCTTCCAGTCTTTCTCCTTGTTAATGTATTTTGCAGTATACAGAGAAGCTGCTTAGGATTTCCATGCAGGGTTTTCCTCTCCACTACCCAGGCTGCATCTCCAGAAAACAATGTGGTTTCTCACTGATAGACAGCCCCATACCTCCTCCCTGACCCCTACCACCACAGGCTGGCCGCTGTGGGTAGGCATGTCCCTACACATCCATTCTTAAAGACATTGACTGCATAAGAAATGTTTTTTTGATAGCATTGGCCACAATTAATCAATGCTTTGCTAACCTTCCTCTAACACTTGCTCATTGTTGAACTACTTTTTAATCAAACAAAAGTTATTAACCACTTTTAAGTAAGCAGAAGGAAAAAGAAGGAGCAACAGGAGGACACTCTGTGGCAGGGCCTTATTTGGGTTCCTTGCTCCTACGAAATTAGCAGAGGCCTATCTAATCAACATGGTAACTACAGATTACTTGGTTGGAGATGTGATGTTGGAGCTGGCTTGGTGGAAGGGAAAGAAGGGCTTGTAAAGCTTTAGCCACAGCTAAAGCAACTCAGGAAATTACAGGCTGGAGACAATGGACAAGATACTGTGGTTTTATAATAAAACTTTAATGCTATTCTTGAGAGTCTTATCTCCAAGTAACCAGCAAAAAGTGAGAAGAGGTGGTGTGATTCAAGTGGTATAGCACCAGCCTTGAATGGAAAAAGTTAAAGGATAGTATAAGGTCCTAAGTTCCAGTTCTAGTACCAATACACACACACACACACACACACACACACACACACACACACACACACACGAGTTGTTCTTGAAAATCACAGTGAAGGCTCAAGAGGTTCTCATGGGGGCATGTGCAGGGCCAGCTAGCTGCCTTAGTTCACTTCCTTCAGGCAGAATAAAAAGGTGTTCCTGCTACCAATAAATAATAATCTAGCCAGGAAGTGGTGTCACTCAATGGTAAGGGCAGAGGGTCAGCTTAGAAATGATGCCCACATCATTTCTAAGCTGTAATCTTAGCTACTCAGGAGGCTGGGATCTGAGGATTGCAGTTCAAATCCAGTCCAGGCAGGAAAGTCCATGAGACTCTTATCTCCAATTAACCACCAGAAAACCAGAAGTGGCTCTGTGGCTCAAGTGGTAGAGCGCTTGTCTTGAGCTGAAGAGTTGAGGAACAGTACCCAGGCCCAGAGTTCAAGCCCCACAACTGACAAAAGAAAAAAGAAAAAAAAAGAAATGATGTGAGCAAATAATTGTTTATTTCTGTAATTGTTTATAAAATGGTGACACTAGTAATATTACTCAGAACGCTCTCCTACGGAATACATAATAATATGAGCAAAGCACTTGCCCAGAGCCTGGCATATGGTTGGTATTCAGTGTGTGTTAGCCTAAGTAACCAACATCAAAGCTAAAGAATTATGATAGCCACTCAGCAGACACCTGCTATAAAAGAAACCACATCAATCTCTTCCTTTCAAGAGTTTCGAATCTAATAGGAAGGCCAGTGAGACAGTAAAATATTTAGTTCATCATAAGTAACATGCACACACGTAAGATCTTATGTTCTAAAGAGATGTGGGGTGAGGCGTGAGGAGAGCTGCAGTAAGTGATAAAGTTTGACCAGAATCAGTGTGGACCTTGCCCTTGGCATACACACACATAGCTGTCAGGGTGTGTAGGGAGGTAGTGCCCATTTCCCTAGGCCTGTGGTTCACAAACAGTGTGAATGGTAGGCAAAAGGTAAGGATGGTCATCTTTGATACAGGGTTGGGAGCTGATATTTTGTTTAAATAGAACTCTTAACTGAACACTTCTTTTCTCTCTCCGTTTCTTCTCTTGAAAAAACAAACATATGTTCAACAACCAGAAAGACGTCTAGTTTTCCAGACTCCCGGAGCCCTGGTCTCTATGCCACATGGACATTATCCACCTCCTCTGTGTCCTCCAGAGGCAGCTTTTCAGAAGGTGATCCCAGGCAAAACCGTTCTTTCAAATCCGTCTTTGTGCCGACCGCGGTAGTCAGCCCCGTGAGGAACACAGCCAGCCCAGGAACATTAGGACAGGGGTCTCTTCGGAAGGGGCGAAGCAGCATGAGAAAGAGTAAGTGGTGGCAAAGAGGTATGTGCCTAGCGCTAAGTGATGAGGGTAGGGGTTATACAGTGTGCTTTTCATAAAAACCCAGTCTTGACCTTAAGATGACACTTGCAGATCCCAAGTGCTGGGTTGTTTTACTGACTGAAGCCAGACCTACTGACGGGCACAGTAGTTTCTGGCGATAGGAGAGTGACCAAAGTGCCAACATAGAAGTAGAATACAGCTAAGAAAGTGCTGGGTTTTGTTAGGAAAAACCCATCCAATCCCTCCCTGGCTCCAAGGATAATCCAGGGATCTTGGTAACACCCACCTGAGCATATGACAATCTGTACAGACCTGTCACTTTTATGTCTTTATTTATTTACTTCTTCATTATCTTTAAGTAGTTGTACAAAGGGGTTTTAATTCAACATGTCAAGTTTATGAGCACAATGCATCTTAAACAATGGTGCCCCTTCCCATGGCATTGTTTCCCATCTCTCCCAACCTCACCCATCAATTTACCTACTTCCGTTTTCACATATGTGCATTAGATATTATGACTGCATTTCCCTACCTTTCCTCTCTCCTTTCATCTGCCCTCCTTCCCTTGACCTGGGAAAAATTATGTAAAGTAAGTCACACTCGAGAGAAAAACGCTGCATGTTGTCTCTCAAATGTGGAAGTCCGATCTAAATTATAAACATATATATAAACATATACAAGGTGATATGCAGATATACACAGACATATACAGGGGAGGTTTCCAATGGTGTAACTCCTTTGATCGCGTAACTTACAGGTTTTGCTCTTTTAATATGTTGAACTTGTATGTGAGATTTCACTTTGGGAAATTCTAGGAAGGGTTCAAAAACCCTTTTCTACATCATCAAGGTTTTCTTCATCTGTTACAAGGTAAGTGTGGTGAATATGATTTATTCTCTGTCCCCTGATTTAAACTGGGCTCTGTGGAGTCAACAAAGGATTCTTCTTACAATCTGAACAAGTGACTAGACTGGAAAATTCCTCAAAGAAATAGAAAGCAAATATCCTATGCTGTGTGTCCATCTGACAGCTTCCTCAGACCTCACATACCAGTGTAATGGCTGTGGCTACTTCACCCACCCACCCAGATCCCTGCCTTTACTTTCCATTCCTTCTTTCTTCCACCTGCTCCTACACACACTTCAAATAAGTAACCTGCAACCGCTTTGGACAAGTTACCAAACTCTTCCATCTTCAGTTTCCTCATTTGTAAAATGGAAATTACAACAATACCTACACCCATCTGCATGACTACACTGATCTAATCAAAAGCTTCTACATGGCATGGCTCAGACAATACCAGGCACATAATGTGATATGCAATGATTGAGGTGAGAGCAACTCATAATAAGCTCTCGAGACATTAGCTTCCCGGATTTCTTTAAAAAGTATTAATTGGATTAATACGTTTTATCCTTACTACTACAATTAAACATCTCTTGGGGCCCACCCAGAGCATGAACTCTTTCAGGGTTGAAATCTCCCACTCAGTCTAGACCATTCTGCAATGCAATGGAGCACCACACGCATTCTTTAAGACCTCCAGTTTTGCCTGCCTCAGAGCTTTGGCTGCTTGCATTGTAATCAGAAAGCATTAGGTATCTTAAAAATTAGAAACGAGCCAGATGCTGGTGGCTCAGGCCTATAATCCTACTTAGGAAGCTGACATCTGTGAATGGTGGTTCAAAGCCAGCCCTGGCATGAAAGTCTTTGAGACTCATCTCCAATTCACCACCAAAAAGCTGAAAGGGAGGGTGTGGTTCAAGTGGTAGAGTTCAAGCCTTGAGTGAAAAAGCTCAGACTCAGTATACAGCCCCTGAATTCAAGCCCCAGGACTGGCACTATATATATATATATATATATATATATATATATATACATATATATGAGAGAGACAGGCATGAAGCGTTTCCAGGAACCTAAGGACATGTCTGTCTGGTGTTGCTTTGACATCCCAGGTCCTGAAGGCATTTCCTTATCTCCCTTTCTGAAGATGAGGCTGGTCAGGCTATCCATCTCCCCAAAGCAAAGAGAAACAACAGAGATTGACTATGTGCAGCTTGCAGGGCTGTCAGTGTTCCAACAAATGTCTAAACAGAAAGGTCAGAGTTGTGTAAATCTGTCCATCTTGTTTCCCACGGCTGAGAACACCAACTGTGGTTAGTGAGGGTCCTGCTTTTCATGATCAGAACTGGCAGAAGAGTCATAGTGCGGCCATGGCCTCTGCCCAGGCCCTTCTACTAGGCACCCACTACTGTGATCCAAACATGCATCCAAGGAGTGTCAGGAAAGATAAGCATCTCCAGCTGAGACCTAACCTACAGCTCTGGCAATGTTGGAGTCCCTCTTCAGAAATGGCCCACGCTACTTCTTAGGAGTGTCTCTCACTTGCCTCCAAGATATATGCTAAATGAGTGAGGCTCTCATCTTTAGAGAGTTTCAGGGCAAGGAATGGCATCTTTTTACTGAGGGAAGACTGTAATTTTTGCCTCAGGCACAGGCAAAACCAAACTCTTGGACTTTGCATTGTTGCTGTCCTTTTACCCGAAATGATCATGACATGACATGCTGGGCACATCCTGGGTACTCAGAAGACATAACCTGCCCTGTGGTGGACTGTTTTAATTTCCAGCTTACAAAGGAGGAACTGAGTCCTGTGGAGCTATTATGACTTGTCCCTGATTCTCTGGTAGGATGTTATGACACTTGGCAAAGCTCAGCCACATACTACCAAACTGGAATAAGAAGTCTCCAAATTTACCTCTATGTGATATCCTGCTTAGCAAGCACATGAACTGTTACTGCCACTCATCCTTCCCCATCCTGCAACACCCCCCAAGGAAAGTCCCCACCACCCCATGTCCAAAGCTTCTAGAGCTTTCTTCAGCAAGTAGTTCTCCTTTCCTCTTTCTCTTCCTCTTGTTTCTTCTCAGTTGCTGGAGTGTCTTCATCCCTTGTCTCTTATCTTCCACTTTTGTTAATATTATTGAACACTTTTATTAGTGCTTTGCATTAATTACCTCCTGTGATTTTTTTTTAATTTTCCTTATGTGGCTGTACAAAGGGGTTTCGATTCAATGTGCCAGTTTGTGAGTACAATGCCTCTTGATCAATGTCACCCCTTCCATCATTCTTCCCCATCACTCCCAACCAACCCCACACTTCTTTCTGTCTCTTGCTGTCAATAACTTTTTGATCCGTCTCCAAATTTTCTCTCACTGTGAAGCTACATTTGGACCTCTTTCTTCATCTTAAAGGGCTTGAGGGAAAGGAGTAAGGGTGTGGTGTGTGTGTGTGTATGTGTGTGTGTGTGTGTGGTGTGATAAAGAAGTCAAATGGAAGTCATAGACCATGTGATATTTCACACACACACACACACACACACACACATTCAGCTAGCCTCTGATTTGCTGCCAACATCAGCAAACAGCCCCTTAAAAAAAAAAAAAAGACAAGATCACCTTTAAAAGACCCTGGGAGAATGTGAGCCCAGTCAAATTAGGAAAGCACTTAGCTATTCTGGGATATCAGGACAGAACGCACTGCCTACCTGCTGTCAGCTGCCCCTGTGGCTGATAACAGGCATCTCCTTCCCCAGATGGCTCCCTGCAAAGACCGGTGCAGTCAGGGGTCTCTTCGCTCATGGTGGGCTCCCTCCGGCGCAGCCCCACGGTGCTGGTCCGACCTCAACAGTTCCAATTCTACACACCACAGGGGGTCTCCCCCTCGCCCTCAGCAATGCTGTTGGCCATGGGACCCAAGCCTGCTCCCACTGGAGAGCCTGCCCACACCTGTGTCAGCAGAGGCGGTGACAGCAGGATCCACTCGGCAGCCAGTTCCCTCATCATGGAAGGCAAAGACCTCCCCATCAGGAGTGAGCCTCCGCTCAGGCCACCGGCCTCAGCCCCACCATCAATCCTGGTGAAACCAGAAAATTCAAGAAATGGCACCGAAAAGGTAAGAGTAGACTATTTTTCACCTCTAACTCTGCACACGCCTCACGCACACACGCGCGCACACACACACAGCTCCTGAGATTTGAGTGTTGGTAGACAGAAACTCAAAATGGCAGCCTCTCCACACTCAACCACCCCTTCCTCTTCCCTCACATCCCCAAGTAACACAGGCTTCTTTTGAGACTCAGAGGTAAGCCCTGGGAAAACAACAGAACAAAACAGTGGCTTTGCCATCTGACAAATCTTGGTTTGAATTCTAGCACTGGCTTTGGGTGGCTTTGGCTAAAACACTTCACCCTCCTGGAACTCTTTTGTTTGTCCTCTCTTAACCTGTAAAATGGAGGTAAGAGTAATGATGGCAGCATAGGCTTATAGGAGAGATTAAACAATGTAAAATATACAAATTGCTTACATAGGGCTTGATAAGTAATTATTCAACCGATAAAAGAGGTCACTGAGACATAAGGGAATTTAAATAAGGGGAAGATCACCCAGAATGATAACTCCTTATTGTGACCTCTGAGTTAGAGATCAGATCTGTTCATTTCTAGTCCAGAACTCCTTGCATGGAAGGCATGGGAAGGGTTTTTTTGTTTTGGCCAGTCCTGAGGCTTGAACTCAATGTTGTACTGTCCCTAAAGTCCTTTTGCTCAAGGCTAGCACTCTACCACTTGAACCACAGCACCACTTCCAGCTTTTTCTGTGATTCATTGGAGATAAGAATCTCACAGACTCTCCTGCCCAGGCTGGCTTTGAACCTCAGTCCTCAGATGTCAGCCCCCTAAGTAGCTAGGTTTACAAGTGTGAGCCACTGGTGCCTTGTGACATGGGTTGTTTGTTTGTATAATAACCTTGAAGCAAGAGGGATGGTAGAATCAGAGCAGTCCCATGAAGGAAATCAAGTGACACCCTTGCTGTGTTTTAGTTACTAAATTCACCAACATCACTGCCACCATCACCACCCCACTATCATCACACATCCCCTTCCATCCTAAAAAATGGAAAGGGAGTATAGTTTCCTTCTCCTTATTATGCATTTCTCAGCACTGATAACCTGGCATGTATTAGTTAAGTACTTCATAGTCCTGCCTCATTTAATTCTGACAACCATCCTCTGAAGTAGGTATTATTTTCATCTTCATTTGTGGGGACATGATGTTTGAGACATAGCCCAGGTAAGCCTCAAATTCATGATCTTCCTATTGCAGCCTCCTAAGTGCTGGGATTACAGTCATGGGCCCTTATGCCCAGCCTCATTCTTATTTTAAACTGAGAAAATGAAAGCATAGGGAGTTAAAGAGCATCTTCCCATGTACCGCTGACACACATGAGTGCCTTGCATAGAATCCAGTATAAAAACTCATGCTCTCAAGGCTATGCCCCAACCTTACAGGGAAAGGCGTTTGGCAAAGGTTAGCACTGGGTTGACCCATTGTAACAATGAGAGATGTACAAGACACTGCTGAACAACGAACTTTACAATTTAGGCTGGGGGGGGGAGGGTAGTTGTGGAGGTGGGAGGGAAGGGGAGGGGAAAAACAAAGGAGGAGGCAACAATGCTTGATAAGAACTGTACTCATTGCCTTGCTCATGTAACTGTAACCCCTCTGTGCAGTATTTTCACAATTAAAAATGTATTAAAAAAATAAAAAGTTAGTACTGACTGATGTAAATGCTGAGAGTTCTGATTCTGCCTGATGGTATTCAAGAAATTTAAAGTTTTACAGGACCTCGTTGCCCAGTAACTCAAATTATTATATAAAACTTTTAGACTGTATTTTGTAATCCCTCAGAACCCTAATAGAGTAAGTCCAAAAGTATGAAGAAATTTGGGTTCTCTATTGGAAACACAAGGATTAAATTTCATGGAAAAAGAAAAGAAAAGAAATAATTCCCAGACAATACCACAAAACACTTTATTATTAAGTCCTGAGACAGGGATTGGCCAGAACCAATACTTTAATTACCAGGTACGAGAAGTGAAAGGAAGGAGGGTAAGATGGAGTTTGGAGCACACTGGGGACCATAAGTCTCAAGGAGGAATTGTTCCAGCCAGGTGATACCATAATGGGCATGGGCCCAGCATGCCAGATGTTTAGTTGTTTTATTGAAACAAGGTCTTACATGTAATGCAGGCTAGCCTTGACCTTTCTTTGTAACCCAGGCTAGCCTTAAAGCCTTAAACTCTTGGCCTTCCTGACTCATCTGGCACTGGTATTATAGGCATACAGTACTGTGCTTAATCCTTTATCTTTGAACATTTAAAGAGACATGTGGAATCCTAGCTTTTCAAAATGCAGTCTCCCAGTCTGTATGTGTAGGGAAATAAATTAAAATCTCAAAAAATTCTGAATATTCCTTGCTACTCAAGAGGCTGAGATACGAAACTTGAGATTTGAAACCAACTTGCACAAAGAGAAAAGTCAATGAGACTTTTATGTCCAATTAATTGAAAGAAAAAATATCTAAAAGTAGAGATGTGGCTCAATGGTAGAATGTCAGCCTTGAACAAAACAGCTAGTAGAAAGTATACTGGCCCCAAGTTCAAAACCTAGGATTGGCACCAAAAAAAAAAGACAAAAAGAAAGAGTGAATGCTAAATTCTGCCAGCGGGTTTCTAGGGAGCCAGCTCTGCACTGACTTAGAAGATCATTATGGAAATCTGTTAAGGAAGTCACTAGGAAAGGCTCCAAGAAGAGCTAGGCCTTGAAAGAGATACTAAGGAAGGCAGAGAGGAAATGGAGAAGGCAAACTTGTATCTTCTAAGAGATATTATAATCATACTTACCCAATTTATCCCTGATAACTCCTAATTGCTCTTCAGTTCTCAATTTAAATAGCTTGGCCTCTAGGAAGCCTTCTGTGACTTCCCCATCCCAGTTGGAGCAAATGTGCTTCCAGGTCCTTAGTATCTGAGACTTGCCTCATCAGAGCTCTTGTTCGCATTTTCTCTTGGCCAGGGTGGTTCTCTTCACGCTCAGCTTCTTCCTAACAGCTAAGAGGAGTCAGAACGCAAAGCAGCCACTCCAAGTAGACACGGATATGTGCTGAACGCCCACCACACACGTAAAGCATTTTGAGTTGGGGAGAAGTTTAGACAAACAACAGGCCCTCAAGTCTGCATCTTACCCATGTTCCTTTGCTCTCTTTTCTCTTGCAGCAAGTCAAAACCGTGAGATTTCAGAATTACAGCCCTCCTCCCACCAAACGCTACACCTCCCATCCGGCCTCGGGAAAGCGTGAACAGCCTGTCACCCACAAGGGGTCCCAGCCCGAAGCAGCCACAGAGATGACCGTCCTATTCGCCCACCGAAGTGGCTGCCATTCGGGACAGCATACGGAGCACCGAAGGAAGTCAGCTTTTGGCAAGGCCACGACCCCAGCTTCAGCCCCACAGACTGTGTTTCCCAGCAAATGAATCTAGGGGTGGCTTTTCTTAGGCCCCCAAAGAGAGGTGAATTGCATTTAAATACAGTCTGCCTCCACTGAAGACATTCTACCATCCTTGGAGACTCCAGTGTGGGTTATTGTGCCACCTGTTATCCCTCTGGGAAAGGGAAAATTGGACTAGAAATCCCTGCACTGAGTGGCCTTCGAACATTGTGCACATAGGCCAAAGTGTGGAAGAGCTCCAAGCCTGCTCTCCAGCATGGAGGGCTTGGCCTCTCTTCCTCAGTGTTCTGTGTAAGATATCTGGGGTATCCTAAAGGGGACTTCAGCCATCATAAGGCTATGGTGGGATTGTTGGCATTGCTTTTATTTCTCTCTCTCTCTCTTTATCATCACCTAAAACAACCTCCTCCATCTTCTAAAACCCATTCATACATTGGCTAGTGGTTGCTGCCATATTTTTCCCATAGAAGAGTCGTGATTCTGCCTGCAAAAGAATTGGGGGGGCAGGTATGAGATATAAATACTTTGAACCTTCTGAAACCCCCTAAAGAAGTCAGCTTCCTGAGTTTGCTCCTTACCAAAAGACCAGAGAGAAAGCTATTAACAAACGCCAAAAATGATCATACTTTAAGCTCTCACTGTGTTTCCCTACCTAGAATTATATTCAATAGATAAGCTGGAAGCAAGGAGTGATAGATTGTGTATCATAGAACAGGCAATTAACTCATTCCACTCCCTTAAACAAGATGTGTTTTTAAAAGCTTTAAAAATAAGGGGTTAAGATATATATATATATATATATATATATATATATATATATATATTCTGTTTGTTTATAACATTCTTGCTTTCCTGGATTCTTGTCATTGGGAGCAAGTAAATGTCTCCCCCATAGAACAACAGGGCAAATAATAACACTGTGCCAGTCCAAGACTGGAGACAGGATGCTTCTCAAAGGAAAACTGCCATCAAAAGCACTGGACCAAGAAGGATGGAAATGAAAGGGGTGGAAGGAGAGAAAGGAGGTAGAAAATGGGGACTAGAGAAGGATGAAGGGATAAGAGTAGAAAAAATTAATCTGTCAGGAAAGGAAATAAAGGATGTGGACAGGATGCCACCTTTATATTAAGTGCAGATGGGAAGCACAATGTGCAATGGAGAAAGAGCAAAACCAGGTGACCCTATCAACACGGGATTGAAGTGAGTGGGACCAGCCAGGCAGAATCTTGTAAACTGGTAAGGAGGCATCCCAGGGAACAAAGCCACCCCTGTAAGACAGCCCATTAATTATCATTAAACTTAATGGTTGTGGTTTAACGTTCATTGCATGCCCATCAATGTGAACACTTTGGTGCATAAATGCCATTTGCCAAGACTGAGTACCATTTTAGAAAGGCAGGTCTATGTAGACCTCTCCCATCAACAGTTCTAGAATGTCTTGAGATTGCAGGCATATGTCTTTTGCCCCTCCCCCCCACACACACACTTGGCAAATACATGATCCATAGACTTTTCCAAACTTTCACAGAATGAAACAAAACCATAATCCTGCCAAGGAATACTGCCTGTATATTGGATCTTTGAGACTGGTAGAAGCCTCATGGCACCATATTCTAACATCTTTGTGGGTTCCTCTTGTGCATCCCATGAAATCAGCATGGCCAAATCTGTGCCTCATGGAAGTGAACATGATCATCTAGATGGAGAAGTGAGACAGTCCCAACAATAGGATTTGTCAAACTATGGGTGCCTCCACCCCTAAAGCATTCTCAGGGAATTTAGCAATGAGTATAACAATCTATAACAAGAGTTGCAGAGGTATGGTATGATGAGCCAACCAAGTATTTAGCCTGTTCCATAGTAGCAGTGGATCCAGTGAGTTTCTAACTCTTGTGGCTATCAAGCAGGCTGCTTAGATGTGATGGAGACTTGCCCGTGCCACAAAAGTGAAATAGAACATGAGACACAAGAGTCTTCCGTTGGCCTTTCTCTCTACAGCATCATCTGAGAAACAAACAACCCAAGGCTTGCCACTCCCCTTCCATCAGACATTTCACACCTGTCGTCAAATCCAGTCCCTCCCAACCCAAAGCCCTTCTTTATAGATACAGCTCTGTAAAAAAATTGACCAGTGGCACTTTCAACTCATCCCACCAACAGGTTGTTAGCAAAAGTCTAGTTCTGCTATAAATGCCCCCATTATAAAGCCAAGGAAATAGAGGCCTGAAGATAATCACAGACAGGAAAAAAAAAAAGCAAGGATGCAAAGTTGAGCTTTCTGATACTAAAGCTCATCTGGAAAAGATGGAATGTGAGCCAAACACCCACCCTCAACTTGGTTACAAGTCCGGCAGGCTTGCTGAATACAACCTGAGTTCAAACCTTCATTTATCCTGTTCTGGCCATTTGATGTAGGGTAAACTACTGAATCTCTCTTAAATAGAAATGATGATAGTCAACTGTTACTGGGCTATAGTGAGAATTAACATAATAAAATATTTAAACCGTGCTGGAACAAAGTATACATCTAAAAAATGGTAGCCATGGACTTTTTTAAGGCCATCAAAATTGCGGCAGGGGGCGGGGGGTGGACTTCTAAAACAGGCATGCCCACGACTGGTTCTGAAAGGAAACAACAAAGCTGAGCCTAAGAGGTCAAAACACAGTGCAAGCAAGAGTCAAAGCCATGGGAGAAAAGGTGTCCCACGCAGAGAGAGAGCTTTGGCAACGGGGCTTAATTGTAGCAATCAAGTCAGGTTCCATTGCACTTGGTGAATCCACTCTTTTGTGGAACACACTCCAGAGACCCCTGGTAGAACCCCGGACCCCTAAAATCTAAGGTAAACTATCCCATCCTAAGACTCAGAGGCCCTAGGAGAGGTATCTCCTTGGCCCGAGGGTCAGACTCCAGTACTGTGGTACAAAAAAAAGGGGTAAGTAAGCGGTACAAAAGATAGGATTTGGTTGAAGGAAGTGAGAACATGAGAGGACAGCTAAGATGTGATGACAGGTCACAACTGGCTAAGGACAGTGTCTGTCCTTAACAACTTGGACCTCTACCCATGACCAGCCCTTTCATGTCCCCCAGCTACGCTGACCTCCACCGGGGCCCGTTCAGGCCTCCACTCTTAGCCATACTGGCCTCCTTCCTGGCCAGCCCTGACCTTCATCACTAGCCAACACAGGTCTCTACCTCTGGCCACCTCTGATCAGCATCCTGGCCTTTCCTAACCTCCATGCCTATCCATCCCAACCTCCCCAGTCTGGCCAGTCCTGATCTCCATCCTCCGCCACACCCACCTTCACCCCTAATTAACAAGGATGTATTTTTCAGCAATGTTTAATCTCCATAACATATAATCTCCCAAGCCCCAACATACACAACTCTGTACATTGAATTCAGATGTGAACTTAGTGTATTACCTATTTTATGAGATCAAATCCTCATACTCATAGCACAATCATCCTAACAATTATTCAAAGGTGCTCTAAAACTAGTTACAAGCCTCTGAAAATCAGAGAAACATTTTTGAGGCGACAGTTCTTGATAAATATGGAATTCAAGGAAAATATGGGCAGTTTTCTGTGTAATTGTCAAGAACCATAGTTGAAATTATTAAACAGCATCAAGATCCTCACTTAGCACTTGTCTCCCTCCCTACTGAGTCCAGACTCACATCCTCTTCCATTCACCCATCTCAAAGACAGGGCTTTTGGAGCAGAAGTGTTCAAAGCTGTGACTTAATAAGATGCACGGCTGACTCAAATGCACAGCTTAGAGATTCCCCGCAGCTCTTGAAAAGTCACAGGGTCTGTCTACATGAGGCCCGCTTCCCTGAGTGTAGCGCTCCAGGGCTGGGTCAGGGTCCAGGTTGCTTCAATTACAGGGGCACACACTTATCAGTTGGCCAAGCCCCATATAGCTGTTTCCTTCCCATTACCTGCATGTGATTCAGGCGCAGATCCCTTTGTAACTGTGCTAGACTCCTCTCAAGTCATCAGAGTTAGTTATCAAGTTAGAAATGAATTCTTGGACATCAGCTGACTGGGGATACTCAGGCCTCCCAGGTAGAGAGGCTAACCTGGGACCTAGTTGGAGGCAGGAACAAAGTGATAGAAGAAAGGGTGGCGGTGTTTCTAACAAGCTCCCCAAGTGACTCTGGAGCACATAAAACAAGGAGCTCTAATCCATCTGTCTTACCTTGTAGAGCAGAGCTGGCATTCAGCTCTGACATTCATCAGGAGTACAACCAGGCTGGTAGTTAAAATATTGAAATGGGTCTGTGCTGATAGGTGAAGTGCAGATGCTCTACAGCCCCTCCCCTTCCCCCCACTGGTCCCGCCCCCCAGGTCCTCTCCATCATTCTACCTCCCAGAAGCTAACAGACTGTGACCAGGGACAGACTTAGGGTCTCCAAAATAAAATCATTCTTCATTTGGATTGTCTACACCATACTAATTGCTGGTCTTGACTGTTAGCCTATAGAACAAAACAAAACTCAGAGAGGAGCCAGGCACCAGTGGCTCACACCTATAATCCTAGTTACTCAGGAAGCTGAGATCTGAGGACCATGGTTCAAAATCAGCAAAAAAAAAAAAAAGTCCCTGTGAGACTCATCTCCAATTAACCAGTGCTTGCCTTGAGCAAAAGAGCTCTGAACTCAGTCCCCATGACTGACAAAAAAAGGGTCACCAGAAGTCAAGACCACTGCTAGCAAGCTCCAACCCCATCTGGCTTAAGAAAGCAGCTGACTAAAGAACGCAGCTCCAGGCTCCCTGGCCTACCTTTTCTAACAAAGGCTTCTATAGTCATGAGCAATGCTTTTGTATTTCTCAGCTCTTTGCAGATGGGTTTTGAGCAGGTATGAAGTCATGAGCAGCTATCCTCACTCTCATCCCTTCACCCACCGCTCATCACACAGGCCAGCCACAGCCACACACCTCTGAGAATCCCTCCCCAGCTGTTCAGCTGTGGCATGCAGAGTAGCAGAGCCCTCTAAGTCTCCCCTGCTGAGACAAAGTGCCTAGCAAGCTGGCACTGGTCAGTGC